GGATCACCTAAGGTTGGGGATTTGAGACCAGCCTGATCAACATGGAGAAACTCTGTCACTACTAAAAATACAAAATTAACCAGGTGAGGTGGCGTATGCCTGTAATACCAGCTACTTGGGAGGCTGAGGCAGGAGAATTGCTTGAACCTGGGAGGCGGAGGTTGCAGTGAGCAAAGATTGCACCATTGCACTCCAGCCTGGGTAACAAGAGCGGGGTGGGGGGGGTGTGGGAAGATAAGATAAAATGGGGAATAGGAATCTAGGCCCAGAAGTTTTCATTTCTTCCTGACTACTGGCAGACCTTTATGGATTTCCTTCTCTCCTTCTTTCTCCTTTCATCCTCCTTCTCTTGCTCCTTCCCTTCCTCGAGTTGTCACACCTCTTTATCTCTTTCAATCTGTAACAGTTTCTCCAGCTTTCCTTGTCTTTCATGACCTTGACACTTTTGAAGAGTACTTGTCAGATATTTTGTAATGGCAAAAACCACAATTACTTTTGCACCAACCTAATAGAATGTCTCTCAGTTTGAGTTTGTTTGATGTTTTCTTACAAAAAGACTGAGGTTATGGATTTTGAAGGAGAACATCACAAAGGAGATATGCCCTTCTTGTGACATCGTATTGAAGCACATGATAACTCCATGACTCATTACTGGGGATGTTTACCCTTGATCACTTGGTAAGGCGATGTTTGTCAGATTTCTCTAATATAAAGTTTCTTTTTCTTTCTTTTTATATTTTATTAGGTATACATGTGTGACCTTTTTTTTTTTTTTTTTTAAACACAAGGGTTTAGGAATTGTTTTATTTAGTTTCCAAATTTATGGAATTTATGGAAGCGATCCTTTTGTCAGAATTCCTAATTTTACTGTATAATTATAGAGTACACAGTTTATATGCTATTGATTTTTAGGAATTTGTTAACACTTCTTTGTGATCTGATTTATGATCTATTTTAATAAATGTTTCAACCATGCTTGAAAAGATTGTTTTTCCCCATGACTTAACTTCTACGTCAATGAAACAGGAAGAACCAAAACATCCAATTCCTTTGATTTATTTTTTGAAGGCTGCAAAACCAAAGACCCAATTGAAAGAGAATAATACTACATTTGTTCTTTCTGACTCTTTCTTTTGCACACTCACAATAGGGATATCTTGACACAAGTAAACATACTAGGGGAGAGAGAAAATGAAAATATCTGTCCTTCTGAAGATGGATCTGTTACCACTGGGCAACAGGTGCTTAATCCTCTGTGGGGACACAATTCCAGACTACAGAGAGGCGCTGGCCAGAGCGGAGGAGTAACCACCTGTGATAATGATGCTGATCTGTGTTCATTCCTTAGAAGCCCTCTGGTCTTGGCTAATCTGTCTTCGTGAAGCTGGGTCTTTCGTGTGCTGCCACGAAGTATCGCTGTATGCTAAGGTGGGGTGGCTGATGGGAGTGGGCTAGTTGTTCAGCCTAGTTGCTTAAAAAGACAGCATGGATACTCATCTGTATTTGCCATGGGAAGAGGAATGTGATGGTCAAAGGCTTCATGTTGTGGATTTAAGAGTCAGATCTTTAATGCCCAGCCTCTCAGGTTGTTTGCTGCAGGACGCCACGCCCCTTGGTTGCTGCCCTGACACTCTCCTGCTATCTCTTGCTGATTCTCTTCGGTGAACTCTCGCAGAGCCTACTGTTGGCTCCCCATCTCCTCCTGGGCACCATCATCAAGGCTCACCTTCTAGCTCCTAGGAGATGGCATGTCTTTCCAAATATGATGAGTCATCAAGAAATAGGAAACTTTATATGGGCGTTTATTGTGCTATTTGTTTCAACTTTCCTATTATGTTTGAAAATTATCAAGTTTATAGTTAGAAAAAAATCCACTTGTTTTTCCTCTCCAAAAAAGTTAGTATGAGTTGAATATCCCTTATCCAAAATGCTTGGGACCAGAAGTGTTTTGGATTTTGAATTTTTTTTTTTGGATTTTGAAATGTTTGCATATACATAATAAACTTGGGGATGGGATCCAAGTTTAAATACAAAACTTATGTTTCATGTATACTTTATACACAGAGCCTGAAAAGAATTTTATACAATATTTTAAATAATTTTGCACATGAAGCAAAGGTTTGTGTTTTGACTGAGACTCCTCACCCAAGGTCAAGTGTGGGATTTTCCACCTGTGGCATCCTGTTGACACTCAGAAGTGTCAGGTTTTGGAGCATTTCTTTTTTTTTTCTGAGACAGGGTCTCTCTCTGTTGCCCAGGCCGGAGTGCAGTGGCAAGATCTTGTTTCACTGCAACCTCCACCTCGTGGGTTCAATCGATTCTCCACTTCAGCCTCCTGAGAAGCTGGGACTACAGGCATACACAACCATGCCTGGCTAATTTTTTGTATTTTTTGTAGAGATGGGATCTTACTATGTTGCCCAGGCTAGGCCCGAACTCCTGGGTTCAAATGATCTGCCTTGCTTGGCTTCCCAAAGTGTTGGGATTACAGGTGTGAGCCACCACTCCCAGGCAGGTTTTGGAGCATTCAGGATTTCAAATTTTTGGATTAGGGATGTTCAACCTGTAAACCTCGACGCTTGGCAATGTTGCAAGCAGTCTGCACTTTATCTAGATGAAGACAAAGAATGTTGCTAACACTTGTCTATGTACAGATGGGAAATCTTGCTGAGGAAAAGACAATGATTCTCAAGCAAAAGGGGAAAAGGGAGAGAGAAAAGAGAGCACCTGGAGCTCAAGAATATCAAGAATAGGAGGTGGCAACAGGATGATTTGGCTATCATTAGAACAAAAAAACTTCACTATACAGGGTTGTATGGAGTACTGGAAAGAGCATGAAATCAGAGTCACTTCATTAGAATTCAAGTTTTGCTCTACATTAGCTGTGAGATTTTGGCTAAGCCAATTGACCATTCTGATTCCACAGTCTTTACACATGCAAAATGCTAATACAGTTATATCAATGAAGATACATTGTGAGAAATGCATCATTGTGCAAACAAAATAGGGTGTACTTATAGAAACCTAGATGGTATAGCCTACTACATACTTAGGCCACAGAGCATAGCCTATTGCTCTGACCACTGTCATATATGGAGTCTGTTATTGACCCAAATGTTGTTATGCAATGAATGACTGTAATAATACTCGCTACATGGTAAAAATACTGTCATTAATAGTGTAGTAAAATGGTAACTGGCATAGTAACACTGTAAATTGAATACAATTTTTGAAGGTTTTGAGGAGGGAGGTTCAGAACTGTTCTCCACTGATTTGCTTACAAAGGCATTTTCATTTTCCACTAAAGGTTTTAGCTGTGAAAACTTTGGCAGAAATAACATTTTAGGAGTTTTTTTCCCCTGTACTGTCAATTAAGTTTTAGTAAGCATATGACTTTCTGTATGTATCATCCAATTGATTTTAAAATGAATCAATGAATGTATTTATTGATTGACTGCCCCACTTCACAAAGGAATGTGAGGAAGGACACTCAATTTGACATCCCTGTGTTTCTCTATATTTGGGTCATGCATTTTGTCTTGCTTTCCAAATTGAAAATGTGGTGGATGCAGCAGATTGGCCTTTAGTATCAGCCTTTCCCTCGTTTAGTTTACCTTTTTGTGTTTCACAAGCTGGAAAGCTACACGCTCTAGACAACCTTGCTGCTAATATCCTGCATGTGATATTCGTCTCACCAATTGCACACAACAGAGCAAGATTTGCAGGTGCTGTTTTCATGCTGCTGGCAAATGCAGCTGTCGAGACCATGGTGTTTTGCAGCAGTGTTCCAGTGTCCTGTTAATTGTTCTGTCGGGTGTTGAGAGGAAGTTGGGGACAAGGAATGGCAACTTCCTGACGCCATCTTCGTGATTGTGGGCAGGAGCCAGTATGGCACTCTTATCCAGATAGTCATCTGTGGATATTCAGCCCTTCTCCAGCCTTTCCAATGATCTCTAATGTCTCCAATCCCCACTGACAAATCCCTCTCTGACTAGGAGTAACTAACTAGCTGAGTACTGCAATGAAATCCTGACCGACAGATTTGTAAACTCTTCATGGGCAGGAACCCTTGATATAAAGAAATGAACTTGCATTTTAATGGAGGGAAGCAGAGGGATAAACAAATGAGTAAGTGAAAAGTTTTAGTAAGATGGTGATATGTAAAAAGTAAAGTTGGTTAAGAGAATGGGGAGTGCCGGAGATGAGGGCGGCTGTGTTGCCGTTTTAATCAGATAGGTCAGAGGAGGCTTCTCTCCTAGGGTGATTTTTGACCTGACTCTCTGTCATGTCAATTGTGTGCAAGGCCTGATGGAGTTACTGTGTTAAAATGCAAAGATCCAATTACTCCATTACTTAGACCCTCTAAGTGATGCTACTGTTGTCCAGCTCCCCGCGATTGAATGTTTACCCACAGTAAACATGGCGGGAAGAGCTTCAATCCGACCCTTGAACGCTCAATAAAAATGGCGACAGCACTTCCTGTGCTTGCCCTCAACAAAGATGGCGTCAACACTTCCTGTTTAAGGCTTTCGCCTTTAACAAAGATGGTGCTTACGATGCAGGTTCCCTAACAATCAGGATTCCGGTTGCAGTTTTTCTCCCCCCGCCCCAAAGATACGTGGTTGCAGACGTAAGTAACAGGAATCCATTTTTTCTTGAAAATCCTGCACTGTAGCATCTGCGACCTGGGCCTGCGGAGGCTTCCCCGCCCCTCTAACTTGCTCCCCATTTCCGATCCGGGCCAAGGGTGGGTGGCTGCGGCAGTGCCGGAGGCCCGCTCTCCCCTTGGTCGGCTCTTAAGTTTATTCCCAGCACTCCCTCTTTAGCGGGTCGAGTTGCCACAGAAACCGCCCATAGTTCTTCTTTGATACAAGGGTTTCAGCGGCTGAGGCGGAGAATTTTTTAAAAGTTACCAATGGGAGCTCACAGCCAAATGTGAACACCTCCCTTCTTCACCTGTCACCTCCCGAACTTCACAGGGTTGCCAGGGGGAGTGTGGGATTGGGTGTCGCCCAGCAGTAGTACTGCCTGGGGGTGTCTGAAGCCGCATGTGTCATCCGTACCTCCCTTCCCTGTCATTTATTCTTCACTGCCTCACACACAACCAAGCCACAGCTCACTGGTGCAGGGGTGGTGGAACTGCACCTTCAAATCGTGCCTGGCTACTGACCAGTGCTGGGTGTGAGCTTTTTTTTAGAGAAAAAAAATCCCATAAAATGTCCCATGCAGGTGTGGCCACGATAATGTGCTACAGACTCTGAATTCTTAGTGGGAAGGAATGGAGTTTGTGACTGTATATTGTGTAAGTTTTATTGTAGACTGGGCACAAAACAACCTTTTTCTTGAAGGTGATGGTGTAGAGGACTTTTAGCAAAAAGAGCCTTAAACTCTGTACCTGCTGCTGATTTCTGTCCTGCCCTCCTGTTACTGATCAGGTTTTGCAAATACTTGCGGTCAAAAGGGCACCTTCGTCCAGTGTGGCAGTTTCCGCCGTGGTGCTGGTGCAGGTCTGATGAGGGCAATGTTAAAACCACCATTTCTTCTCCAGCACGTTAACATTAATGCTGCTGTGTGATCTTCAGATAAAAATTGCTTTTTCAGAAGGGTCTCTGACCCACTTTTTTTTTTTTTCCTTTTCCAAATTTCTTTATTGAGCAAGGAATTGAGCTGGGACCCCATTGTGTGAACAGCAGAAACAGAAAAGATGATTCATCTTCGGTGTTGTTCGTTCTGTTAGGAAACATTCAAAATTAACTTGACTTCACCCGTGTATTAAATACCATGGCCTGGCACTCTGCTACGGTCTGAAGATATGCCTGACCTGAAGGAACTTAGATTTCAGTGACACTGTCGTTAGGGCACATCTGCATGTCTGTAATTTGAGCTGTGATTTCGGCTCTTTCCAGGGAGAAATGGAGGCCAGAGACAAACAAGTGCTCCGCTCACTTCGCCTGGAGCTGGGTGCAGAGGTATTGGTGGAGGGACTGGTTCTTCAGTACCTCTACCAGGAAGGAGTCTTGACGGAAAACCATGTTCAAGAAATCAATGCTCAAACCACAGGCCTCCGGAAAACAATGCTGCTGCTGGATATCCTACCTTCCAGAGGCCCTAAAGCATTCGATACATTCCTAGATTCCCTACAGGAATTTCCCTGGGTCAGGGAGAAGCTGAAGAAGGCAAGGGAAGAAGCCACGACCAGCCTGCCTGCAGGTAGGGCTCAGAAAGATCACTTCGAAGCAGCTCCAAAATGTTGGAACTATGCCCTTTGGTTTTGTGTTTGTTGGTTGGTTTGTTTTTGAGACAGAGCCTCGCTCTGTTGCCTAGGCTGGAGTGCAATGGCATGATCTCAGCTCACTGCAGCCTCCACTTCCTGGGTTCAAGCAGTTCTCATGCCTCAGCCTCCTAAGTAGCTGGGAATACAGGCATGTGCCACCATGCCTGGGCCAATTTTTGTAATTTTAGTAGGAATGGGGCTTCATCATGTTGGCAAGGCTGGTCTTGAACTCCTGACCTCAGGTGATCCACCCACTGCAGGCTCCCAGAGTGCTGGGATTACAGGCATGAGCCACCATGCCTGGCCAGAACTATGCCCTTTAGATTTGAAGTTGAGATGTAAGGCAGGACAAGGGCCAGCAGCTGATGAAAGTGGGTAAGGAGTTGGGACTGAAGGGACATGATATTGGAGGCACAGGATCAAGAGGTGGCATTAGGAAATGACGGGAAGGAAGAATGAACCGTGACTGGGAGGTGAAGGAGGGGGCTCAGAGAATGCATTTAGGAATGCTTCCAGGGAAACCTGGCATGTCACTTGGGAAGCATGTTCTCATCAGAGAGCCAGGTCATATCTCAGCCGCTGGCATCAGGAGCCATTTGGAAAGCGCAGATGGAAAGCAGGCATTCGGCCTACTGACAACTGATTTGTGAGGTGCCAGAGCTACCAGCTGGAAAAGGTCAGATTCACGGAGGAGGAGATAGCCTCTAGGAAGGCATGTCCTGCACCTGTCCCCTGGGCTGTCCTGTGTGGCCAAAGGGGATTACGTTGAAGGCTGACTTGGTTTGTTTTGAAAGGTTATTCGTTTAAAGTGTCCTTTTTAGTTTAGCTTAGTTCAGACAACTGGAGTTTTTAATTTTACGAAGGGCAATAGTTTGGGGAGGGTCTCAGTTTGATTTGAGGGAGAATTAGAAGCTGGAGAAGAGAGCAAGAGTTCTGGTTCTGTCAGCCTGGCTTACAGCAGGAAGAATATGTGATACGGAAACACTTGCTGCTTCTTAACCTCCCTTGACTCTGTTTTACAAAGATGAAGGAGCAGAGAACGGAACTTAAACATTGAAAAAAAAAGTCATTGAAAGTTGACTTGCATGTTTTTAACAAAGTTAGAGAATCAGGGTTCTCTGGGGTTTCTGATTACAGTGATAGAAGTATTCCAGTTCAGTGGGCCCCAGACCTTGTGGTTGCTGTTTTTTAAATACTGATTTAAAAAGAATGAATACTGATAATAAGGCCACTTTTACTGTTTTTGTTCCACGGACCTCATATTTTGACATATGTCTGAATATCTGATCAGCGTGAGATAGTCAGCTAACTTTAGGAAGACCTGGCAGGATTCCAGTGGAAAAAGCAAAAATATTTTCGTTTCTAGCTTGGGCTAGTTACAGGTAAATGTATCTTTTAGGCTTTTTTGAAATATTAGAAGTAGCTGGCTTTTGAAGACCAATGGAATTCACTGCTTGGTTTGTCCTTACAAAATGAAATACTCCACATATCTCAACAAAAATGTATCTAAGATGTTTTTATGACTTTATTGAACTCAGAGTAGAAAACATGGAGTTGGAGAAATGTTAAAAAATTATTGGTGTTTTCCTGATTTAGAGGTTTCTGCTGGTAACATGTAGTTGGAAACAACAAAACAGGCAAGCTGAAAGCCTTTTCCTATCAAAATACTGAATCTAATTTTATGGTCATTTTGGGTGATACAAATCATGCTATTGTATGTCATTCATAGAGGTATAACCCCAGTTTTATTTCTTCGGATTCATTCAGACAGAAAGAGTTAAGGTGTTTTTTTACAAAATGATGAAAGTTACATAGAAGCTGAGGAAAAATAGTTTTTTACAAAAGCAAACAGAATGAAGCAGTACATAATGGGAAAAAATTGAGCATATCTGTGTAGAAATTTAGAAAAAGTAGGTTTCTTTCAAGATTTGTTATTTCTGTAGAAGGTTGGCCCTGGAACAAATTCATACAGTCATCTTAATTGTTTTACTTTTTATTGAGTAACACTACTATTGAAAAAAACATTCTGAAGTGAGGGTTTGATTTATGTATGTCTTTGAATACCTTCCACAGTGACAATCACATAAACTCATTTAAAAAAGACTTGTATTTATTAAATATTGAATATTTTAAATAATATTGCAAAATATAAGTAAGGTACAGAGAATAATGGTACAGTGAACACCCCCATTTCTCCATTACTCAGTTTAAGAAAAATAATATTATGATGGCCTTTAAGAACTCTGGGCACTCCTTCCCAATCCTGTCTCATTCCCAACCCCACTCAGTGAAGAGCCCTGAATTGGGAGTTTATCATTCATTCACTTCTTTACTTTATAGTTTTCTATCTCATAAAAATCACTTTAAAAATCTTTATGTGTTATTGAAAATCCTGTATACCATAAGTTCTAGAGATGTGTGCATGATATATATATATATATGCATGTAATATGTGTATATACACACTCACATATGTTTTTTATGTATGTGGGAAGGAAAGGATTGAAGAAATGGAAGAAATGATGCATTTAAACTTGATAGTTAAACAACTTCTCTTGTGTCAGACCTTAAAATATTATTTGTGTGTTTAAAGTAATTAATTTGGTGGCAGTATTCTCATTCTAAAATCAAATTGGTATTTACTGAATTGGAAACCTAGGTTTGGTTTCTTTTGTAAATCCTGGGAAGAGTATCAGAGTTGAAATCCCTTCAGTCTAACGTCCCTGTGGAAAAGAAATCCAGAACCTGCTGCCTAAGACCCCCGTGCTTCTCCACTGTTGTAATAGAGTCATTTTGATAAGATTTAAAATAGTCCACTTCAATTTGTTTAAAGATCTCTTTGAGTTTTGAGGAACTGGACTCTAGGAGAATGTGGTGCTTATATACATGTATGTACACATTAACCTCTTCTTACCTTTTCCTCATTTTGATCATACTTACTGATTAATTTGTTTGGATTCAGTAGTCTTCTTTTGGGAGGCCTTGAGAAAAAATGGGAAGGAATAGTCTTCTCTTTAGCCAAGAGGTTGATCCTTCTCTAAGAATGAACTGATTTTATTTTGTTAAAGTTTTCTGGTTGTCTTCCCAGAGATGCTTGGTTTCTCCTTTATTGGTTTGTTGTTTTAATTTTTGTTGTTTCATTTGGAAATTTTGAGCTGTCTCAGAGACTTTATTTTGGTGATTGATCCTGGTTAGCAGCTTTTCACTTAGGTGCTGGGTGTCATTTTTTTAGAGAAGAATTGAGCAGTATGTTGTTCTTTAGCTCTACTCTTCTAAACCCCACCCCCATCAAATCTCAAAACACATGAAAACATGCTAAAGCCTTTTGATTCTCTCAGAATCTGCCTAGGTTGGCAGATTCCCAATCTCTGTTAAAAAAAAAAGTCTAAGTTGTTAAAGTTGTTAATGGATCATTGTTTTTCTCACCCTGTAAAGACTCTTACCTTTTAAAAGAAGAATTCTGGTGATAAAATGACTTAATCCACCTTGGCACAGTGGAAAGAACACTTCATGGTGTGTCATTCTGGCCAAGGTCACATACTAGACATTAGATCAGCTGGAAACCCTCTCTGGGCTCCTGTCAGGTCATTTAGGAGATAGGGACAGTGCTGCGTCTGGGTGAAGGCAGCCTGTGCCTGCCTGCCTGGCTTCCCACTGCTCATGGGCCCTGTCGGCACTGACAAGCTCCTTCCAGTGCTTGAGCTAATCCGGATCTGGAAAGGAGGTTGATGGCAGCCCAGTCTCCCCATCTGGTGGGACTCAGCCTAAGTCATGGTGGGAGTGACTCCTGGGCCACAGGACTCCCTGTTCCACTGTGTTGGCCCTGGCTGTGGGTCTGGGTATCTGCGATGATTCTCACTTAACTGTCTGCCTGGTAACCCTGCCTTTTACCCCAGTCTTCCTTTAAGCTTGGGAGTGTTTTTGTTTTTCTCTCCTCCCTTGGTTTGATTCCTGCTTTATGTGCTCTTAGCTGCAGCAAGAGCAAAGAACAGAGCTCTGGGAACACAGCTCAATGTTTCTGGCATCAGCATCAGATGTCTCAACTCTTGAGCCTATTAGAATGGCTGTCCCTAGCCTGACACTTGTTTCAACCTTCCCTGGGCTTGACCTTGTCCTTCCCATATACCCTGTGCCCTGGACTCCCTGGCTGCTCTTACAGAAGCAGTGCACAGGACTGGCCAGTCCATTTCCTCTCTACCTGTGGGCTCCAGGGCTCTGCCTGCCCCTTGTGGTGCCAGCCTTGAGTGACAACACAGAACCACACCTGCCGCCCTCCTGAGATACACTCTAGCTTTGAGTTGCATACCTGGAGGCATCTGAAGTCACCGAGCTCTTAATGGCAGACATTTTAGATATTATGATGGGTTTATTAGAGAGGTTTCTAGCTTGGGATTGTTTTCATAGGTTCCTCCAATCGTACCATGTAATTGACCCTGCTCTGCATGAAAGTTCAGTGTTGATCTCAGTGTATCTAGCTTGCGGTCTATCCACGTGCTTCCACTGTGACTGAGTAGTGTTTGCTTAGCGGCGTCCTGTGTACTTGAGTGAGAACGGTGAGTCAGTATCCATAGCAAGACCCTTCCCGCTGGTAAGGGGAAAGTCTGCAGACAGCCCAGGTTTCTGTGTATACCCAGCCGGATTTTCATATACTTCTTGAGGACCTCCTGAATGCCAGACACTGGGTATATCAAGGCAAATGGAGGATCTTCAGATCAGCTGAGGGCATTCATGCATTCATCCAGCAAATATTTACTGAGTATTGACCATGTGCTAGACCAGAGGTCCCCAACCTTTTTGGCACCAGGGACTGGTTTTGTGAAAGACAATTTTTCAACGGACAGGGAAGTTGGGGGAAATGATGGTTTGGGGATGAAACTGTTCCACCTTAGATTATCAGGCATTAGATTCTCATAAGGAGCACGTGACCTAGATCCCT